ATCTTTGTCTGGGCAAATGTATTCACTGTTTTACCTTGTGGCCTCATAATCGAATCTCTTTTGTTCTTGCTTATTTTTGTTAAGCCTAAAAGTAAATAATAATTTCCACTGTTCCGCTGCATAGAAGCGGCAACAACAATTACACACGCACTGCTGGCCAGCGGCACAATTACCGTTGTTGGCATTACAACAATGTGACAATGGCTGTCCCGTCTGCCTATAATGATAATTATGACTATGACTATGACTATGATTATGACTGAGACGATGATGATGATGAGTACGCTGTATGCATGTCAAGTGTGCCGTGGGTACCGGAAAATCAATTGACGGAGTGACAGGCGGACAGTTCGAGATGTACTTTCACAATAGCTATAGATATAAGCAAGGCCCACCGGCCGATCCAATTTCTGTAGTCCAAAAAAAAATGGAAAAAAAATAATGAAATGGAATCATGTCGAGGTCAGCTGTTCAATCAGCCTCCTTTTCTTGGTTCTACAGAGAGAAAAAGGTTTGCAATTCGATTTGGACTATTAATTTTTTGAGGTACCTAAGTTTCTCCACGTTGAAAGGTCACACTGTGTTTATTTAACAAACAAACTGTAAACTGATATAAATACTAACATTTAAATTAGATTCGTTAGATGGTTCCATTTTAGTTAATAATTGTAGGTACATTTTTAAATCATATTTGCATAGAACACCTGTGGAAAACAGTTTCCTTTTTTTGCTTGACACAGCTGATAGTCTTTGTTGACTTTTAAAAACTGTATGAAGTTTTTAAAAATTTAATCAATATAATATTATTTTGATGTAGTAACGACAAAGATCAGCGTAGATGCCAATCTTTTGAGATATATTTTCCCCGTGTATCTGGATAATCGATTAGTAGAATCAACGGCCCCAAGATTGCGGCTTTTTCTTTTCTTTGCGTTCTTTTCCCTTGTTCTTTCTTTTCTTTGTGCCTCTGACTAACTGTAAAGAAAGAAAGTTCTACAGCAAGTGGCAAGCTCAAAGCTGATGACATCACGCTCCAACCGGCAAATTAATGCTCCCCACATACAATAAAAAAGAAACACGCATGTGGAGAGACAGGGGAACAAAAAGGTCACAACATGTGTTAAGTCTAATCTCTCCGAAAATGGAATATGCCATCTAGACCCAACCGAGAGACAAAGTAAAACAAATTGTCAGCAAATTTGATTTGATGCCCGTTTGACAACCATAACGAAAAAAAAATCACCTTCTAAATATGACTTGTCAGTTGCTTTGACCGAAAGCTTTTTGTTAAGAACTGAGAAATAATAATAATAACTTAGAAACTCCAGTTTAAAGACCAATGGATAACTAATTGGGTTCTGAAGAAATATCGGTAGAAATTGAAACCCTTTTACAGGCAACAAGTAAATTGACCAATAAATAAACCTAATTGAATTTTACAAGAATTATCATTCAGAATGTTGATTAGTTTAGTAAGTTTAATGCTTATTAAAATGTTTCTATGATCAAATGCCCAGATACTGGGATAATCTTAAGTTATCGAATTAATTGCAGCTCTATGACAATAATCGATTGTCAAGCTTGAAGGTGTGCTTTGTGTTATCGGCGCGATTCCAACTAGAACAAAGTTAAAGCGCTCAATTCGAATTTCGTGGGTGCGGCACATCCATTAGATACGCGCTCAGATACAGATACACAAAATGCAGCCGAAAAAGATGTGGGTCAACAACCACCGAATGAAGTTGACCCACTTATATATAACGCTTTAAAATGCACACACACACAGGCGACACGCATATGGTCATTATGTAATAAAAACGATGACGATGTTTAACGGTATTCCAGTTAGAACGAATGCAGCGCCGGCGCATTAAAAACTCCAATTGGAGTACTCTCGGGGGTAAGAAATGCGAAAAGCAGACGGAGAATAACCCAAACAAACAAACCCATCTTCCAATTGGAGTGATAAGAACTAAGAGAGGGGGTGTGTAAAATAAAAAGAGAAAGGAAGAGAGAGGGTAAACAAAAACACAGTGGCAATTCGCCAATTTGAATCCTTTTTGGCGGGTTCCAATTAGGAATTGGTTCTCAGTTTTTATACCCTTGCAGAGGGTATTATAATTTTGGTCAGAAGTTTGTAACGCAGTGAAGGAGACGTTTCCGACCCCATAAAGTATATATATTCTTGATCAGGATCAATAGGGGAGTCGATATAGCCATGTCCGTCTGTCCGTCTGTCCGTCTGTCCGTCTGTTTCAATACCGTTTGCGAGCTCAGTTTAAAAGCTAGCGATCTGAAACTTTCACAATCGTCCTAAAACATGTGTACGCAGATCAAGTTTGAAAATCGCCCCGATCGGACGTCTATATCCTATAGCTCCCATAGGAACAATTGGATATATCTTGCAAGAATTTATGATATTTCGCGCAGTGTAAAAGCTATTGACATTAATCTTTACAAATCGTATTTTTTTATGCATACCTTGATCAGGGTAAAAGCGCGTGGCGATCGGACGTCTATATCCTATAGCTCCCATAGGAAAAATAGGGTAAAATCGGTTAAAATTTAATGATTTTTAGGATATTTCGCGCAGTGTAAAAGCTATTGACATAAATCTTTCCAAATCTTATTTTTTTATGCGTACCTTGATCAGGGTAAAAGCGCGTGACGATCGGACGTCTATATCCTATAGCTCCCATAGGAACAATAGGGTAAAATCGGTCCAAATTTGATGTTTTTCAGAATATTTCGCGATGTGTAAAAGCTATTGCTGTACATTTTTTCAAATCGTATTTTTTTATGCATACCTTGATTAGGGTAAAAGCACGTGACGATCGGACGTCTATATCCTACAGCTCCCATAGGAACAACAGGGTGAAATCGGTCCAAATTTGTTGGTTTTCTGAATTTTTCGCGTAGTGTGTAAGCTACTGACATACATTTTTCCAAGTCTTATTTATTTACGCATATCTTGATTAGGGTAAAAGCGCTTGCCGATCGGACGTCTATTTCTTATAGCTTCCGTAGGAAAAATAGTTAAAGGCTGCGAAAGTATCCCTTTTTTTCCATTTTTATATGACATTTTTACAGTATAAAAGCAATTGACATCAAACGACGCAAATCTAGTTTATTTATGTATATCTTATTCCTTTCGCTACTTTTTCAGTTTTAGCAACTTCGGCAAAGTCTGCAAGGGTATTAAAACTTCGGCTTGCCGAAGTTAGCTTCCGTCCTCGTCGTTATATCTAAAGTTATGATACAAATTTGAATTGTGTTTAAGTGTTGTAGATAAATTTGATATGTTTTAAAATGTTTGTTTTTTAGATAATTTAAATGAAGACATGTTCCTTATAGGAACTTATTACTACTTGTAAAGTTGAAGCAGTTGGAACTATCAATTCCTTTAATTCAATTGTAATTATTTTAATTTATTTTTACGAAGATATCATCAACAGTTTTTAATGTGTTGAAGGAACCAAAATAAAGTTAATGAACCTCTCATGTAATGAAAAATAAAGTTGCGATGTCTTTTTAATTGTTTCCGCTATTATTTGGAATTGCTTCGTTCTTCTGTTTTGCGATGCCCCTTGATTTGCTATAAAAATTCCATCAGCAGAATGGCCACTGTACGTGGGTTTAAGCTAGTAAAGTTTTAAAACCAAACTGCTGACGGTGAGCGGTAATTATCGATTCAAAAATTTGTGTGTCTCAAGCTTCCTGCCTTTGGGGGAGGTTGTGGGTAAAAAACGTGGGGATTACGGTGGGGTTTTAGTATTAGGGTTGGATGATGAGCACAAAGTTCATCGTTTGCTTTTTGGGTTGATGGAAATGCTTTCCACAGCTGAATTTGCTCTGAGGCTTGGCAAAACGGATCATCTAAATAGCGCAGTTATGAATTGGACCAAAAAACAGGGCTAACTACGGATCTAAAAAGCGAAACAAAAGTGAAAGCTGCCAAAAAGTCATTAGACGGATTTTTTAATGAGGTAAAAGTAGGCCCTATTCGAGCCACACACAATCGCACAATCATAATAGCCCTGCAATGCCTACCGAATTTACTAACTTATTGTTACACTGCGCAAAACTTACAAGATCTGAGCAAAAAATAAGATTTTTTATATGCACTGATTTCTTTAAAATTTTTATTATAATCTAGAAAAAAATATCTTCTTTCCCTTATTTATTTTACGTCTAATAAAAGTCATAATGTTATTGGTTTATACCATAGAATATTTGATATGGCCTTTTTGCCAATTTTAGAGTTAAACATTTTTTTAAATTTTAAGTATATTTCTTCTTTTTGAAATTTTTATTTAAGAAAATCTATTTAAAATAGGTAAACTAAACTGCAACTTTCAGATATCTTTCACGTGAATGAAAGAGTGAATCATTACATTGACTTAGTTTTTCGTCTACAGAGTTATCTGCTTTCTTTTTTTAAGACCTAGAGTGCACACTAATTTGTCGAATTTTTATTAGACAACATAATCTTAGTAAGATAATAAAAGTAACCATTTTGATTTTCATCTATATTTCTTGGTTCAAAGAATACATCATGCTAAATTCTTCTTTTGTATTCAGACCCTATATTTTAGAGAATCAATTTCCTAATATGGCTATAGTTTTGTTTACCTATTTGGTCAGTGGAATTAGTGGGGACTTTTAAACGTAGGAGAAAAAATGTATAAATCATCAAGGAGGTTCTGGTTGGTACCTACCTACATATATAGAGAAATAACTCCTCTTATGGTGCATATAATTTAGCTAGTTTTCTTGTTTTCAAAACTTGTTTTATATTTAGAATCGATTTCCTAATATGGGATAGTATTGTTAACTTATTCGGTGAGTTAAAATAAGTTGGCTCTTTTTTGTTGATTAACACCCTTGTTAGCACCTCTGTAGAAAAGTGTTTAGACCAAGAATATTTCAGTTTTCGAGGCATTTGTTCTGTATGAAACACTACTTAAACAGTTTTAAATGGTTTAACGTTAGTTACTCACTCTTCCTGCACCTCAATGCCGCTGTCATCCATGTTCCCCTTAGCATAGTCTCCACTGTAGCCGCCGGCTGAGGGCAGATGGGACGGCAGCGTCGACGCCAGCTGCGGCTGACCAGCGGCGGCAGCGGCGATATCGGCGGCTGAGTCTCCTGCCCCATCAAACCCGAAGGTCGACTCCACGAGCTCCGACAACGGCGTCGGCGTCTCGAAGACCAGCGTCTCCACCATCGAACCCTTCGAGGACCCAAAAGAGACGCTGCGGAAATAAGAAAGTAGAAGGTCAAATGGGTTCACTTACTAAATACCAACTTTAAATCTCTTTTAAAAAATCAGCTGAATTCAGTACATCCGAAAAAAAAATTATTTGCTAAAGAAGATATACCTCTAAAACTAAGATGCACAAACTTAAATCTTAATAAAACAAATATGTTTTCTTGTAAAAATGAAAAACTATTTATAAAGAATACGAATTTCCTAACTTAAATCATATAAAAATTCAATTCTCCTAAAGAAAAATATTTTTTTTCCAATACTGTGAGGTCGAGAGTAATAATTTATTTTTTTAATTACGTGGTTTATGTATTTTTCCTTCGGATAAATAATCGAAAAGTAATCCTTTCGATACCCTTCAAGATACTTAGTTGTGCTTTGTTGCGAGGGAAACCGATCTCAAGCTCAAATTATAATCGATCGATCAATTTTCGTTAAAATGATAATCAAGTAATGCAAGACTTTCTAATCTTTATCATACCCTGTTTTGACACCTACAACTTTTAAAAATGTTCTCTGTGTAGGGTTTTTTTTACAAGTTTGACTATTTTTAGCGAGTTTTGATACATCTATGTGATTTTGCATAGCATGTTGTTAAAAGATTATAACTCTGGCTACAAAAAAGAAAATATACGCTAAAGTATAGGTATAAGTACGTTATTTTCAGGATACATTCCCCTAATTAAAACATATTTCAAATAGGAACTCAGCTTTTGTGACAGAATAATAAAACTTAAATGTATAGTAAAGCATGGGAGAATATTTTTAAAATCCTAAGTTAAGTAAGTAACCCATAAGCATATTAAATAAAATCAAATTATAAAATATACTAATAAATATAAATAAAAAAGAATATTGGGAGTAAAGTAATTATTACTACCTATTGTAAAAAAAATAAAGCAATGAAGATTAAAATAAACAATAACGAACCGTTTGAGGCCGACGCTTTTGGTGCCCAATTTGCTCAATTTGCCGGGTTTCTTTTCGGGTCGTGGGAATTTGTCGCTCAGATCGCTGGACATATCCTCTTCATCAGCTGTTGTTGTTATCGTTGTTATCGTTTCTATATCCTCTATTGTTGTTGTTGCTGCTGCCGCTTCCGCTGCATTATTGTTGTTGCTACTGCTGCTGGCCTCGTTGTTTTTGCATTTGCTGTTATTTTTATTATTAGCCATGTTTTTAGCACTGACCACAAGCGAAGCATTATTGTTGTTGTTCACATTGTTGTTGTTGCTCTGTTGTAGCTGTTGCGTTGTTGTTGTTGCTGTTGTGTGCACCAGAGGCAGAGACGTCGGCGGCGCATTTGCAGCGACGCCGGCAGAGGACGTGGACGTCGCAACAACAATTTCCTCGCTTAGTAAAAGCGTTCGCTCGTCGCAGTCGCCAGCGGCAGCGACGTCGGCAGCGACGCCGGCAGAACCATTTGACAGCATTGCGGTTGCAGAAAAACGATTCGATTTCGATTTTGATTTCGATTTCGCGGCTAACGGGGCATTTCGAGGGGGCGTCGTGGGCGGGGCCAGGGCCAGCATAGGTGCTTCAAACACACCTTTACACTCTTAATTAAATCGGAATTTTGCACGCACCACAAACAAAAAAAATAGAAGCACACAGACACACACTGGCCAATATTAAACACTTTTTAAGGCAGCTCGGTAAACAGCAACCAAATAAGCAGCGACGTCGGCAGAGGCAGCGGCGGCGGCAGAGGCGTCGGTGACCTGCACTTTAGTTTCCCCGCAATTGGCGCCTCAAAACTCGCGTTTATAAATAAATATAGAAGTGCATTTAATAAATCCGATGGCGCGCGCTCTGTTGCTCTTGTTTTTGCGGATCGGATGGGAATAATCGGAACAATCGTGTGTGTATATTTGGCAGCGCTGCGCTACAATTTCTGTTCTTTTCTGGCGATGACACCCGGCCGATAGGTCGGTGGGTCACTGCCCGATAACACCCCGCACCCGATAGTTGGCGGCGATAGTTCTTGGGGGACAGATAACTAGGCAAGCTATCATCGTTACTTTTAAACGATAGGTAGTGTCAGTAATCAGTGATTAAGTTTATTCTGTTGAACTTTCATGAAAAACTTCGCCACCTTGAAATTAATCGGTCTAGAACGTCGTAAATGGCGCCAAAAATTATAATTTAAATGGATTTTCTTTTACTTAGAAATACATGTGTCAAATTATATCAGTAAAATTAGTGGTTTAAGCACAACAATACGAATAGATTAGAATAAATTCTTCATTTGATAGCAAAATTTCTTGAACATGATCAGTGATCATACGCTTACACCACAACTATCGTAAGAAATCCATCAGTGATCATGATTTCTGCTCAACGATAGCTTGGCTGTAGCTTCATACCGATACTTTCAACTTTTTGACAGAGCTATCGATTCCCTATCGATATACGCTACTCACCAGTGGGACCATCTCTACAGAGATGAGCAAATTTGCAATTTTCCGTTTTAATTTTCGCAGCACAAAACCCACAAATAACCAGCAACGAATCGAGACAAATGGGAGATATAACCGTGATTCGATTTCAATACATCAACGGGGATTTATAGTATAAAAAATCCGCCGCGAAAAAGTCACCTGGTCAAAGAAAATCGCTCATCTCTATTACAAATACGAAAATGAAATTGCGTGCATTCTAAATGGTAAGTTAAACACAGAAAATTTGGTTAGTAATAGTGCAGAGAAAACACCGAAAACCGATTTCACGGCTATAACTAGGTGTATTTGCTTTTAATTGCGGCCACTGAAAATTGCAAACAGTCCACGGCATTTAGTAGCAACAACAATCAAAATAAGACAGCACACACACAAACGCAAACACAAATGCGCAAATGTTTTCTTTATTTTCTTTTGTTTTATTTTTGGTATAAATAAAGTGCATAAACTGCAACAATAACCGCTTTAATGGTTTCATAAACAGCAATAAATTGCCTGCAATTAAATGGCAAGCCAATTTCATGCAAAACAAAAACACACCCAATTTTGTTCGAGTGTGTGTGTGCGCAATATCGAAAATCCTTTAACAGTGCGCGACATAATAACAAGTGCAAAAGTCTAAAAATAAGTGGAATGCTTATAGTTTTCGAATGCATGACTCACATGACAAATTACTGGGTTTACAGAAATAGAACGGATAAATATTGCCGGTTCAAGAGTTTGGCTCTGCATACCGGTTAGCCCGGTTAGTAAAAATGCAAAAAAAATGTTTAGGAACCAAAACCACTTTGGCCACAAAACCCTATCCCATAATTAATTGCAGTTGGAATTACGTTAGAAAAGAAAAGAAGGTATTTTAATGACTACACTTCATGCTATTTTCCGCTTTTTCCAAAGGTCTTTAACGAAAAGTTCTTTAAAAGTAGGTTAGATTAGAGTCATTTATGTATGTTGCCGAATAACTACTCATGTGCTACAAAGAATACATGTAGAATCCGATTTTGAGAACAAAGTTCCTTACCCAAAGCTTAAGAACTCAAAATATTTTTTGTTTGGAAAATTTGTACATAATATATCTGTGTAACTAGCAATAAATCCATCAGTCATTTTCAGAAATTATTATAAAGTTCTCCAAAGATTTTTAAAATTTCATTTCATTTTTTATGCAATTAAAATACTAGACTATTAAATAAAAAACAATTCCAATTAATAAGGTAAAACAAAAACGGTTTCAGTGGTTAAAAGAACATTTTTAAAAACAACTGAAAATCAAAAGTCCAGAGTATAAAATAATTGAAACATCTAACTTTCCAATTGCAGCCACATGGGAACCATGACCAAGGACTACGACTATCTGCTGAAGGTTCTGCTGGTGGGCGACAGTGATGTGGGCAAGCACGAGATCCTCTCGAACCTGGAGGACCCCTCCACAGAGAGTCCCTTCTGCAGCGGGAACGGTGAGTGCTAGAAAATCCTATAATCGACAACCACTGCAATCCAATCTAACAGACTGCACCTCTCATATCCTCCAAACGGTAGCCTACAAGACAACCACCATCTTGCTGGAAGGCAAGCGGGTAAAGCTGCAGTTGTGGGACACCTCTGGACAAGGACGCTTCTGCACGATCATCCGCTCCTATTCGCGCGGTGCCCAGGGCATTATCCTCGTTTATGACATCACTAACAAGTGGAGCTTCGATGGCATCGATCGCTGGCTTAAGGAGGTCGACGAGGTCAGTTACGATTAAAAAAGAATTCAGCATTTGTTCATATAAATAAGCGCGCAAATGAGATCTTTCGGTTGATATCATCTTAAAATTAAGAAGATTAATAACAAACTTAGACGTTTGTTTGGATACTATTGTTATTAATAATTTGACCACGAAAGGTCATGAAACCCTCAAGAAATAATTATGTTCTGGGGTAGTATAACTTTCAAATTTGTATCTATATTTAATGTATTTCTGTAATGCGTTCATTGTGGTTTCCTTCCTTTATCCCTAACAATCACTTATATAAAATCTTTATTTCTGTTAAATTTTGTAGCATGCTCCCGGGATCCCGAAGGTGCTGGTTGGAAATCGCCTGCATTTGGCCTTCAAGCGACAGGTGGCGGCCAAGCAGGCCGAGACCTACGCCAGCCGCAACAACATGTCTTGCTTCGAGATTTCGCCTCTCTGCGACTTCAACATCCGCGAGTCCTTCTGCGAATTAGCGAGGATGGCGCTGCACCGCAACGGCATGGAGCACATTTGGCGCAGCAATAAGGGTAATTATATCTGATTAATTTGGCCGGGGGTGAAAAGTGCATTTAGAGTTAAGATACACGTTAATCATCAGCATTCGATCACATATATCTTTTAGTTACAGCTTACGCTTTATAAGATTTTAATCAATATTTGAAATTTGCCCAACTTGGACGTGTTGTCGCCCAAAGCGTCATTTGTTAATTGGTTTAATCTCGACTTTGTTCACCGGACTAAAAAGCTATTTTTGGTTAAATTGCGAAAGGGGACGATTATCGTTGTCTTTTTAAATACTTGGTTCAGGTCAGTTTTGATTAAGTTCGAATAAACGCGTTATGTCACTTCAGTCATTTATCTTAATTTGGCGGTTAGATACCACTTTTAATTCGATTTTTTTAATATCTATTATTTGGAGAAAAATCTTTTAAAAGAACAATATAACTAAATAGTTAGCATATTTAGCATTTAAAATTTATAAAGTAGATACAAATTAAATTGTTTTTAAAGATTTATGGACGGGTAACCTATTCATGGCTTATGTTTTTATTTTGGTAATAGTTTAATTTGTTTTTTAAAGTGATTAGTAAATACCACTTGGAAAAAGAAAATATATGTTTAAGGCACACACAAGCACCTTGACTTGCTAATGAACTAATAAAGTAGGGATTAATAATTAAACGGTGCTGGACTTAAATATTATCTTTTAGTGAATGGAACTGAATGTAAAGATGTTAGTTTGTGGGTCTCTGCACTTGGGATAGAAAAATGATAAATATTACAATACACCAGCAATATATAGTTGTTCAATGCGTTTATTAAGCCGATTTGTATCCTTTTGCAGTGCTGACGCTACAGGAGCTGTGCTGCAGGACGATCGTGCGGAGGACGAGCGTGTACGCGATCGATTCGCTGCCGCTGCCGCCGTCGGTGAAGTCGACACTCAAGTCATACGCGCTGACCACCTCGCAGTGCTTCAACTCGCTGACCCAGAGCTCCAAGAGCAAGAACCGCTGTAAGACGCCGACGAGCAGCAGTCGGAATAGCTGTGCGATCGCGTGATCGTTGCCTTGTAGGCCGCCGCCCAGCTGCCTACGCCGCCACGCCCCCCAACCGACATTAACTTTAACTGAGCTCTACTTATGTACTCTAGGCTAACATACACACACCATACACCACACACCACACTCATCCACATTGAATCCCCGCCCCTTTTGGTTATTATTTTATTTGTTTCATCGACATTGCTATTTGTGGCCAACAATGTTTACTTTTTACATAGTAAAGCTTAAGTTTATTTAACTTTTAACCCTTGTCCACCCCCATCCTCGCCCCATTTTCCCACTTCTCTTTTTTGCATTACTCTAATGTTGTTAATATTATTATGTTTGTATAATTCTAATATTTAAAGCATCAAACACATCAACATAACAAAAAAAAAAACGAAGAAAAAAAAAACAGCAAGTGAAAATCAATTTTTATATGGATAAAAATAATTAGTTTTTTGTTTGTTTACCATTGGATTAAAGTATTCTTAGATATGTATTGTAATTGAAGCGAATTCAGCAAGAGAAGCACACACAAAGGCGAATTGATAAAGATAATTCAAAATGAACTAGAAAACTGTCTTCATTTATTTTCCATCCCTTTCTAATTCCTGGCTATCTGACCCTGTCTCTTTCATTTAGGTTTTGAAATTGTGGTAATTTAAATAGGTGAAAGTTTACTGCATCTTTGGGTATTTGTTGTTATAAAATTATGTAATGTGGTATGGAATTTCTACTCTAAAAAATATTTTTTTTGCATTTTTAAAGTCTTTTTTCATTGAGTTTCCTTGCAACTTTACCAGTATTGGTATTCATAAAAGTGAAATATGTGAAAAGAAAATAATGTTTTCTTTTGTTTATATTAGAAGTTAAATAATAAGAATTTACGGTCTTAATCATTTAAAGTTACGGGTTTTCAAGTCTTTGTTTTTGATTCAGTTAATAAACAAAAAATATACCCGCTATCCTATGTGTATATAAAATATGTATATATTTAACGATCCCAGTTAATATACATATCCTTAAGTACAGGTTATATGGAAATAAGAAAAGATTTCGTAAGACAACGATTCCTCTTAACCAGATGCAAGCAAAAAAGTCCAACATCTGCTCGCTTAAACCACAAATTAAATTAGAGATATATGTACCCTGGACTTTATGAGAGCGGGTATACTTGATTTTATAAAATATATGATCTCGTCGTCAGATATAAAACCAAATTTAATATATTTCGCATTTGTTTTCGGATAATCCCAAAGTATTTTAATATTTAATTAAAACTTCCTAAAAGAATGTGGAAGGATTAATATAACATTTGTTTCTATAAATAATTAGATATTTAAAGCAGACCATTATAAAAACTATAACTTGGTGTCCATTAAGTGTCTATTAAATTAGTTTTACATAAGTTTGGTCTTCAGATAGCCCCATTATTTTAAAATATCCTATCTATTTCGGATAATATACATTTGCAGAGTAATTGCAACTTCGACAGCTGTATTGTTCTGACCCTCAATCGATTTGTCTCGTTTTCCACATCTGTCCGGGGTTGTGATTAATCGGTCCGCTGGAAACCCAATTTGATATTGTAATATTATTTAAATAATTCAAATTGCCTTTCCTTTGGTTCGCCCTTTCAGCCAAAACATTTTGGTGCTTCTTTTTCGACATCTATTTTTTCCCCGGTTTCGGTTATTTGGAGTTTTGCTTTACACAATTCCCGAGTTGGCCAATCGAAAGGGGGCGGGGCTCTTGGGGGCAGTGGCATCGTTATACTTTTAACGTATTTTCAAATTTCGAATGAAACAGCTGAGGTTTTAGTGCGAAATTATTGCAATAATTTGCATACATATATAGCGATTTACTTTTTATTGTTTCTTTCTTTTAAGTGTTTGTGTTACAGTTTTTGCCAATAATTAAGTATTTTAATACAAAAGAGTTTGTGGTTAGATGAGATGATTTTTTATTAATCTTTTTTTATTTTCAATATTGCATTTTAATTATAGTTATTATAACCAAATATTAAAAGTACGTTTCCACTAGGTGTTTTCTTTATATGATAAACAGCGGGATTTAGCTTTTATTTTTTTTTGTGAAATTCTGATTATCTAGGTTCTAATATAGTATTTCTTTCAAATGTTAAGACTAATGACTGGTAATAACGGAAATGTAAGCCCATTGATATATTAAACTGTTTTATCAAGTTTTTTAGTTTAACTGTATTAATAAAATATAGTTTAATTGCAGTTATAGTTGTTCTTCCCTCTTAACTAAAATAAAAAAAGGTAAAATATTTTAATTCAATGGTTTTACATTTCCCGTATTATCAGTCTTAAGTCTTAACAATTAAAAGATTAAATCAATAGATTAAAACAGACATTGTAATAGATTACAAATGGAAGAAATAAAAAGCTCTTGAAAAATATTTAAAAAATATTTTTACTATCTTTTCTGTTCTTTAATTTAAATATACAAAATGTACTATTTAGTAAGAGATATATTTATTTATGTGAGAAATACATACCATTCGAAATGATGGTTTCCTTTCTTACATTATTTTCTGATTTAATCAGAAAATACTCACAATATATTTTAAAGAAAAATCCCCAAAAAGTCTTAAATAAATAAATATTTAATTTATTAAATTTAACAAAAACTGAAAATTGCAGATAAAAAAAAGTTTTAGTTTCAATGTACATGCATTCCGAAAATGCAGTTACGGAAAATGTTGGTTCTTCCATGTTAACCCGCATTGGGAAAGCGTTAATCTGACCCGATCCCACCTGAACTGACCTAACCCATCGATCAGGTGATCAACGGGAGGCGGAAGACGGGGGGCGGGGTCACCATCATCAAGCGATTCGGTCATGCCCGACGGATTAATTTCGACTGCTGGTCCAATTATGGGACTGCTTTTTACATGTTTTTTTCCACCGGACTCATTTGCATTTGCATTTGTTGTTGGACTGCCTCCAGATGGACAGAGGTTTGCTTGGTGGTCAAAATAGTTGAGTTGAAGGCGATGACGAAAGCAAGTTCAACGAAGAAGGGGCATCGCGCAATCCGGCCGCTATAAAAGCTGTGCACCGCTTGGAGTGGATCATCAGTTGGCTTCCAGCTTCCTCTTCAGCTACGTGAAGTTCCCCAGTTTTCAAACCCCAAGCAAGAAACTTCCGAAAATGAAGGTGAGTCTTGTGAACAAAGTGTAAACATATAAAATTTCAAAATTTTCAAAAGTTTTTTTTTTTAATATGCAAAAATATTATAAAAATTAAAGGACAGGTTTTTTGTTTACTTATATAAAAAAATATTAATACTATTTTAATATGATATCTTAAATTATGCAATCTGCATCAAAATAGTTTTTAAATTAAAAGTTTTATTTTGAAAAACTTAGAACCTAGAAAACTTATGCTTTAAATTTTATCCAAAGGATATTTTCTATTCAAATTGTTAATTGTTATTTATTATTATTTGCTATTTTCCACAGATCTTTGTGTGTCTCCTGGCTGCTCTGGTTGCCACCTCATCCGCTGGCTTCATCGGTGGATCCGGCGGTGGTGGCGGTGGCGGTGGCTACAGCTATGGAATCGGTTCTGGAGGAGGAGGCGGCGGTGGCCACCAGGAGGTGAAGACCATCCAGGTCATCCACCAGGAGGGTGGCGGCTACTCTGGCGGCGGCGGCGGTCATGGCTACTCCGGCGGCCACGGAGGCTACTCGGGCGGTGGCCACCAGGAGGTGAAGACCGTGAAGGTCATCCACCAGGAGGGAGGCGGCTACTCTGGCGGCGGCGGCGGTCATGGCTACTCCGGCGGCTTCGGAGGCTTCTCTGGCGGTGGCCACCAGGAGGTGAAGACCGTTAAGGTCATCCACGAGGAGGGACATGGTCTGGGCGGCGGCGGCGGCGGTGGTGGCTTTTCCGGTCATGGACATGGACACGGTGGACATCAGGAGGTGAAACTGGTGAAGGTCATTCATGAGGAGGGCGGTCATGGCCACGGACATGGCGGCTACTCCGGCGGTCACGGAGGCTACTCCAGCGGTGGCCACCAGGAGGTTAAGACTGTGAAGGTGATCCACCAGGAGGCCGGCGGTCATGGTTACTCCGGCGGTCATGGCGGCTACTCCGGCGGTCATGGAGGCTATTCCGGCGGTGGTCATCAGGAGGTCAAGACCGTGAAGGTCATCCATGAGGAGGGACACGCCCTGGGCGGCGGCGGTGGATACGCCGGTGGCTTCTCTGGCCATTCGCATGGACATGGTGGCCATCAGGAGGTGAAGACCATCAAGGTCATCCACGAGGAGGGCGGTCACAGTCACGGCGGTCACGATCACGGTCACGATCACGGTCACTCGCACGGCGGATTCGAGGAGGTCAAGACCATTCAGGTCATTCACGAGGAGGGCGGCCACGCCCCCATCGTCAGCAACGAGTATCTGCCGCCCAGCAATGAGTACCTGCCCCCCGTATCCGCTCCACAGCCCGGCTATCTGCCCCCATCCTCCAGCTGGAAGTGAGTGATTCGGCTCCTTCCGAATCGATTCGATTCGAGCCATACTGATCCTTGAGTCTTGTTAAGTAGTTTTAGGCCTCCTTTTTTTCCTACCCATTTTTTTTTTACTGTTGTACCCATTTTACCTCACTTGCTGAACAAATATACCATCTGTAAATTATAAAACTATTAACTTTTGTTCGTTATTGCTTACAAAAATGCTAAAACAGCATGGGAAAAACACTTTGCAAAGCCTTTAATTGAATGTTTTAAAAGGTGAGTACAAGAATCATAGTCCTTTGGGGATTTTTATCAAAATGGATGGACTATATTGAAATTATGCCTATGGTAAAAACAATTCTACCATAGCTTCGTTGTTTTTTTAATACAAATTAATATAAATGAAGATACGACGGTTTTATACGATTTTATATTGGGTTTTAATGTAATCAAAATCAGAAGACTGCATGATAAAAGCCATGAAAAAGATCGGATTTTTTAACTTAATTGGAAACAATCAAGATAAAGTGGTTGTTTTTACAATTTTAAGTGGATATTTTATATAAATTTTATTAAAATCTGACGACTATTTGAAATTCGGTTTGCCAAAGGTACCTTCCTTTCTCGCTGTTGATTTAAAATGAATGTGACATCAAACATTTCCCATGGTTTGGAATTGTATTAAAAAAAAGACATTCTTTATCGCTGCGCTATTCTAATTCACGGTTCGTTAAGCTGTGTAAATTAGCATTTTTCCTTTCATTCCACTTTCGATTCGCGCTTCAATTTCACTTTCAACCCGATCGATCGACCGATATTACCATAATCATAGCCGTCCAATTTAGCGGTAGCTCAACGACCTGTTCATCGCCGAGCTAATGCCCATCATTGGATTATTTTGTATCTGATGGATTTATTTTGTGTATCTTAACGTTTACTTATAAACTTATTTGTGTCTTATGAATTGTGTTTTGTGTCTTGTGGATCATGTTGTTGCGTGTTTTTGTGTCTTATGGATTAATTTTGTTGTATGGTTTAATCCGTGTCTTATTTATATTTTTGTATCTTGCGGATTACTTTGAATTGTGTGGTTTAATTTTTATCTTATAGTTAATGTTGCATCTTAATTTGTTGCATGTTTGTACACAGAGAAAAATAAGACCAAGATTTGAACCTGATGCTAAGAATATTGTTTAAAATTAATCTAAGAAAAAACATGTTTTTTTCTTTAAAATTTTAAGCGGTGGTTACTTTTAGCACTGATATTGAAAGTTCAGTAATTTAAATTAACCTTTTAAGCTCGTTTTGATATTTCTGCATAATAATATTTACATTATTGTGTTTTGGCTAAATATTAGGTTAATTTTTTAGCCAAAAATATAATTGTCTTCATGTATGTGCTCTAGGTGCATGATTGTTTAAATATAAACAATGTAGTAAATAATTAATGGTTAACATTAGATCTCTTTTTTGGAATCAGCTCCGGTCTGATGTTGTTTTAATGTTTATTTATGTGGCCATATGTCCTGCCGCCTTGTTTTCGCCGTATTTTGTTCGATGCGATTGCTTTGGCCCAGATATTGATGCAGGGGCAGTGGGCGTGGCGATGAGGAGGTCACGCCCAGTGGGAATTCGCTGGTGGGTCTCCATTTCGAGGGCATCCAAGGTGAATCGTATTCCTGATATTTGCTTTGGTATTTTTCCTCTGGCGCGTTTCCTTGATATCCTCCAGGGGCGTATCCCTTCTGATCCTGATGAACCTTGAGATTGAGCAGCAATTCGCCATCGTCATCGATGAGATTGTACAGCTGAACGCCCTTGGCCTCCCTCAGTGGGTGGGCCCTCTCCAATCGTATTTGCTGCTTGACCTTTGGCCTAATTACAGGCTTGGGCCTTTGGCCAATAAACCGCGACGATCGATCCTGCGACTGCAATTGCCGGAGAATATTTAAGGGCAGCAGTAGGTCCGATTCGAAGGGCATGAAGCCACTGGCCCGCACTTTTATTATATTTCTCAGCACCGGTTGGTGGCCATAACCCTCGCTCGAATTCAAAAGGCCCGAAAGGCTCAGCATCAGAAGGCCCAATGTCTGCATTTTCTGGCAGTTTTTAGCTCATTTCACACGAGGATCACTATTAAATGTTAACACTCAAATAAAAAACAAACAAATGGGTATTTTTCTGACGAGACTGGAGCAAAAGAGCAGCGCGTTCTAGGCCCGTGTTGCACCAACTGAACGGACTTCAAAAACGCGGATCGGTTCAAGCTAAAGCCAGCTGACTGCGCTCGTAAAAACGAATTAATTAGAGAAAATACCGTACGGTACACTGACGCACAGTGAGGCAAAAGTTATGCGCATTAACATTCCATTTTTCCTGGGAGTACCAAGTACCCACATTATATAAACCATAAAAAAAATACTGTTACTGTTGAGAATAGGAAATTATACAAATGAATTTGTTTTTAATGAATACAATATTTAATCCTTAAAGACCTGTCAAATTGTATTAATGGTTATCTACACATGAAGATTACTTTTTAATTATTAAAATTAAAATATGATTAAAAAAACCTTGATTAAAACCCATCTAATATAAAAAAAAATATTGTATAAAACAAGTTATTTTAAAAACTGTTTATTTGGTGACTTTTTTGGGTTTTTGTAATCACTAAATATTTATTAAACAAAAGGTATTTCCGAATACTTTTCTAAAACCTCGTGGCTCAACCACAGTGCATGATATGTCCAACACTTTGAATTGAAAATAAAAACATAACTGGCCAGGCCTGGACGCTTATTGTTTGGGGGCCTCTTGTTGTGGCTCTTTCTTCTATTATTTCCTCTATTATGTTGCGGGCAACACGAATTTATTAAAACATCATGTGAGTCAGCGTGTGTGCAAGTGCTGGCTTGTAGCTGATTTATGCCAGAGCCAAGAAGAATAATTCTTTGAATGCCTTTTGTGGATTGACATTAAACTGGTTCACGCGTCGAGAGTTGGGCCATTATAGTGGCCATTAAAACATAACCCGTCCACTCTCGCTGCCACCGGTGACCCAAACAAAAAAACTAAACACACACATCTCACAGCTCATATGTCCGGCTCATTAGCATTAAGACAAAAGACACCCGCATTAAAATGAAAATAAACTCTCTATGCAGATTAGCAAGCTGGAAAAGCGCGGATCAGAATTTTCACTCCAGCCGGGTTTTGCAGTTGACAATTCAAGCGCTCAAAACGCTCCGCTGATCACTCTCACTGCTCCACATTTGCATATGGACAGTCCGCTTAAGTGCTGGTATAGTGCGAGCCATAGCTGTATGAAATAAAAAATCGAAACCCTTAAATAATTCACAAATCAAACGGAACTGTTAATCTATCAGCTTATCTGTAAATTAATTTGGTATGAATAATTTTTTGCATTTAACAAAATAAATAAAAAAAGTTAGGAAAGTATCAAATAAGGGGAATTGAATTTAAAAAATTTTAATTATGGATATTTCGATGACAATCTCAGAAATATTTGAGCTTCTATTCATTGAAATAGCTAAAGATTTAAGACTTGAAGTAAATTTTCTTATGTATTGGGCTTATTATCCTATTTGAATTCTCATTAATTATTATGCTTTCAATTATAGGATTACTCTGAAGATATTTTAGCTAGTTTTTTAGCTTAATATAATATGTGTCAGTTTTCCAAGGTTGATTGACCCAGAAAACCGCCTTACTCTTTCGAAACGCAGTGTACGCATTCACAATCACGGGGAATCACAGCTAACGGTAGCCGAATCACAATCCCTGCTAATTGACACATTGTTTTCATTGACCAACAATTTTTCGTATTTTTTATATTTTTTTATTTCTCATAGACGTAGACCTTTGCTTAACCACTAAAATTAAGAACAAATAATTTGCGAAAAAAAAAAATTTCATATGCGTAGGTATATATATAGGTAAATATGAGGAGGGATATCTGTACAATTAGACTTAGACATAAAAGTATAGCTAATTGACTAGAATTACGCTCAAAACTTTACTGGGTTTCAAGCTTAAGTACAAATTATTAAAATTCTGATTTTTACTTTCAACATTCTTTGGTCGTTAATCTTCTGTTTTTTTTTTGTTCCATAATAAATATTTACATATACAAATACTGTTGCTCTAAATAATAAGTTATTATATTGATTATTAAGCTTTAGTCCAGGGTGATGTGAGGATTGGTATAGGTGAAGCCATGGAACTGCTTCTGATCCATGGAGGCCAGGATCTCCTTGTCGATGGGGGTGAGTCGCACCCTTTCCCTGGTGAAGACCCGATCGAAATATTGCGTATCCAATGGATGTTTCTTCGGGAAAATAAATCAAAATCATTGGGAGTTTAATATGGGAAAGGTGATTTCAAGACCTACCACTTGTGGCTTAAAGGGCGGTTCGATTTGCCGCTTTTCCAGTAATCCCCAGTCAATTGGGCGGAAGAATATATGATCGGCAATATCACCAGCTGGACTATACTGCGAACCTATACGCTTCGTATAGTCCTTCTCCAGCAACTATGGTCATAAAAGTTTCAATTATATTTCACATACATTTCAATTTTGTTATTGTCTATCTCACCCCCTTGAGTATTCCGGTGGCCTCGGCGGAAATATAGACTGGGAACCATGGAATTTCATTGCAAATGGACCAGAAGAGCTCGTCCTCATCGCAGCCACTAAATGGCGACTGTCCGATCAGCATTTCGTAGAGCAGCACACCAAACGACCACCAATCCACATTCTGATTGTACTTTTCACCCTGAAAACGAGGAAGAAAAATATAAAGACAAATATTATATGTTGAGATAATCCATTCTTAAGCCAGAAAAAAATATATTTAAAACATGATTTATGGCTATAATTATGAGTATTATATTTCTTTAGGTTGCTTAATAATATGACAATTCTAAAATATACTTTTTACTGTTTTTGTCAAAATAAAATATGGAACAAATTATGCCGCATGAGTATTTTAATTATTTATTTGTTACAAATATTTGTATATTCTTTAAGTATGGATAGTTAAATATCGACTTTCGTTTTTCAATTAAATAAGATTTAAATAAGTTTGTGCTCTTAAATTCTCTTTTCGATAAGAACTACGTCCCTGATTTGTAGGGAAACCCCCTAATAATAAAAGATAATTACCTTAATGATTTCGGGCGCCATATAATCGGGTGTGCCGCAAAAGCTATCGGCCGTTTTGTCCAAATAGATTTGCAATTTGCACATGCCAAAATCAGCAATTCGAACATGTCCCTCGTAGTCCAGTAGGACATTATCCAATTTGAGATCCCTGATGGTAGACCAAACGATTAATATGTGAAATAAAATAGATCAAAAATGTAAGATTAAACACACCTATAGATAATGCCCTTTTTGTGCAGGAACTTGAGGCCCGAGATTATTTCGGCACCATAAAATCTGGCCCGCTCCTCGGAGAAGCGTCCGCTCTCCTGAATGTGGAACATGAGATCACCGCCATTCAGATACTCCATCACAAAGAACAAGTGGCTCTGTGGAAGAATATAAAATATAAAAAATTATAAAAAATAAAGCAATATACTTAATAGAAAAATATAAAAAAATACAGCGAATGAGACATCTAAAGGAAAAATATAAGCTTATATAGCTATCAATTGAATAGAAAATTATAAACTAAATATGCCTTTGAAAAATAAACGAAAACATGGCCAGCGACTTAGTAGAAAAATATAAAAAAAATATAGCGAGCGATTTAGATTGAGAATAGGCGAGAGACTTATTGCGAGAATAAGCGAGAGATTCGGAGATCGTCCCCCAAAGTCATAAATAATTAAAATACCTTCTAATCGGTGTCAATGCAAGACGATTGCAGTTGCTGTTGCAGACGAAGCAGATGCAAATTTCGGATTGAGAGAACACAAAACGGACGGACAGGCACCCTGATCTACATGATGTCCGATCGACGTCGTGTGCCCCAATCGATGGCCAGACCCCAGTGCTCTAAATATAGCACGTTTTACCTTTCCTCTGCCTATAAATAGCCAGCCGATCGATTGTTCTATATGATAAATATCGATCAAGAGAGCAGACACACCTTCGAGTGGTGACCCCCACCTGAGGATTGCCTCTAAGTGAAAACTGAAAACTGAAAAGGTGCAAAGTGCACACTATAAAGACTATCCGAATATTTTGTTACCTGGAGATTACCTCGTCAATATTTCATTTTTACATAGATTTTTGATTTTTCATAAAGAAAAGTAACGAATTATTTCATGTGTAACATATCATTATTACGAAAAATATTATGTTTACCTAAGGGTCATTGACCTATGGTGACCCCATCAAGGTATTTTTTTAAATTTGGTAAGTATTTTATTTTTACCCCAGCAATATTGTAGTATTTTAATTTACAAAAATGCATATTTATTTTTAAAACTAAGATTGTGCAGTTTTTATAAAATAAATTACTTAATTTATGTTTCATAATATAAAATTATTGACATTAATATTAACTTGCTCAGATTAAAACAATTAAACAAAAAGAGTTTTGTTTCTGCAAATGCCTTGTTCAAAGCCTGCCGCGGAAGATACAATTTTTTTTTTCAATTTAAATTTAAGCTATTGTTATTGACTAAATTAACTACAATATATGTTCGAATTTCGAAAACTTACCTCCGTTTGGAAGGTGCAGAACAGATGACACAGATAAGGATGTTTGGTGCCCAAGGCCAGGACCTTGCGTTCGATCAGGGTCGAGTCCACATCGTCGTCCTCCAGGACGACATCCTTTTTCAGGCACTTAATGGCATAGTAGTAGGTCGTATCACGCAGCTCAGCCAGCAGAACCTGATTTAAAGAGGCACTTTAATTAGGAGTTATTCGAAAAAAAAAAGCAATTACTAAACTCACCTTGCCGAAACTTCCCTTGCCAAGAACGGCCAGAAAGTGGAAATCATCTACCGAATAATTCTTAAATCTAGGTATTACTGTTGCTGGCGCAGTGAAACGTCCGGATTTTTGGAATTGTGAATATGTATATGATGTTTCTGTGCGATCGAGACAGCAAGATTCATACAGGTAGAGAAATAGAGGGAGAAAGTCATGAAAAAGAACGTATAAAGTTAGTTAAACTCGTTAAGAATATATATTAGAAGAGGTACTAATAGATTATGTTTGTTCATGAATAGTTCCCTATGGTCACTTGAGTGGAATTTAGGGCTGTATGTGTGTGGGTTATTTGTCATATATGTGCGGCATACCATCGTGTTCTTCGCTGGCCTCGATTTTATAGGCTGGATTCAAACTGGGCGGTGTACTGGGTGAGTCACGGGCTTCTCGGGCTCCTAATTGTTCGAGAATATTAGTCGGGGTCTAGCACAAGGATCTTTCTGAGATCTCTGTATTCATTATAATATTTTTTGGGAGTGATTTTGCTTACAGAATTTATGCGAATAATTACTTTATAAATAAGAAGAAAGAAAGAAGAAAGAACTCGATTTACTTTTTTCCTGGCTTTAATTAATATTGCAATAACTAAAAAGTCTGGTTTAGTGAAGCTCAAAAAAAAATTGAATTTACATCTTTTAGCAAACAGTTTATTGGCTTGAATTCTTCCATGGCTTAAATTGAAATTACATTTATTAAAATGTCTTGTATGATGAAGCTCTTAAAATGGTTTAACATTTATTAATGGTTAAAAGAAATTTGTTAACAAATTATATGATTTTAAGAATAATTATAATTGATAAAATGGACTTGCAAAAAAACATTTATTCTGGGTATAAATGGAACTTTATTTGTAATAAAAAAAATCATCAGTTACCGAGTTCCTTAGAAAATTCCGTTTACTTCTTATTTGCTATCCATTTAATTAGCAATTATCACATTCTAAATTCTGTTCGAGCAAAATCAAACCCATAAATTTGAGGCACAAATTATGAATTTTATTTGGCCTCCATTTTTCCCATTCCGACTGTGAGTGGTGCATTTTGTCTGGTTTTTACCTCGCTTCACGTGGTTGAGTGCCTCGACGATGAGTTTCTGATTGACACCGCATAAATTGGCCGTGAGCCGCTCGCATTTCTTGTGACAATTCACGTCACATTCTGGTTCGCCGAGTGTTTCCATTTGATTTTGGGCGTGAATGTGGATGGGCCCACGCACAAGAGGGGAATTAATTGCAAACAAATTGTTATTAAATTTTGTTGCGGCAGGCTGCGAGGGTTACCCAATCTTCTGTTGCGATTTATTGGCTGCACGCTTTTTTGGCTCGAGAAAAATGTTTTCAGATTGAGAATATACTAGTAAAACCGATTGAAAATGGAATACATATGAAAAGCGGTTGACTCACTTTTCGGCATGTATTTAAACTTGACAAAGAAAGCAGTAATTGCAACTATTATTAACTAATATTTTAATATATACTTCACCAGATTTATTCAAATTTCAAAACATTTTATCCATATTTAATCTCAATGCAAGATGTACAAAAACATAACATGAACCACCAAATATAGGATAAATTCAAATTATAATCTTTTAATTTCGCGATTTATTAAAAATGATTTAAACACATTTAAAGGCGGTTATCACCAATATAAGTCATAAAAACACACTGATTTGTAAAAAAATTATTTCTTATGTTTGCTTTACAATAATTAAAAAAAAATGCATATGCCCAAAAATATATATTAATAAATGCCCAAGATCTGGAAACTAATTTGCCTGAATTTGTGATTTCCGAAGAGGACTGACATAACTTTAGAAACTTATGGTTTCCAAAATATCAAAGCCCTGTTTCCGAACGTTACCCATTAAACTTATGGTTTTTCTCAGTGCACCTTAATTGCTTTAAAGACATGAATTTCCGTTGATTGTTCGCATAAACAATGCGAGTTCGAAATTGTTTCTGCCCACATTGATTGAATTTCCAACTAATTGAGGCGGATGCCCGGATATCACGTATACGCAATGTGGCAAAAAAAAACACGAAACAAATGCATTTTACACGCTCTTCAAGAGAATTTTATATAATCTGGGAATTGACTATACCATAACTGCGTTGTTTGTATGGTTAAATCAGCTGCATGGGAATGTCTCAGTACGTATAGTATCTCAGCAGATATAGCTGAATATATGTTCCCCAGTCGTATGCTAAAGCTTTCTCTCTGCTCAGACAGACACGACGATGACCTAAACAATTTGTTTTCATTTGTTGTTTTGGCTAAAAGTAAAATGCCAACTTGTCGATTCCTTCTCTTTATTCTTTTTGCGGCTTCTGGCAGCGGATCTCTAGCAAATTCTCGCACAAACATCAAGGAAACGCCACCACGGAACAGTAATCAACGATAAAATTCTCGGCGAAAAATTACATAAAACACTACTCGAGCGAAAGAAATAGGAAGTCGATTTGCCATATTTACTATCGCACAACATGAGTAACAATGGCAATAAATAGCAAAAAACCAAAGTGGGGGAATATTGAAATATAATTTTGTATATGATATGTCTAGAAGTCAGACTATATAAACACATTAAAAGAGAGAAATTGCTTTAAGAAATGTATTACTTATTGTATTTTTCATATTAACATAAATCCACTTAGAAAATATATAGTTTTAAATAGACTTTCACTAAGCAATAATAAAAATAACTTGTAAAGGATTCGTAATAAAATAAGGATCAATAACAAAAAATTGTAAGATAATTCTAAGCTATTTAATTCTGCAATATGTAAAATAGTACTTCAAAATTAGAGCTGAGAAACCTATGTAAAAAATTATAAAGTATATGATGGGGCAATAAAAAGATATTCACAAATTCCAGTATTAAATGTTAACGAGATTTAATATTCCACATAATTGTGCTAATGGAACTGCCACAAAAAATCGCATCGAGAAATTTTGGTAACCCAGAAATAGTGTCCCAAAAAAAAAAATGAAAAATTCCGAATTTTCACCATTCATTCAATCACTCACAATTTCTCTCCAGCTGCAGGTTGTTGAACCCGTCTCATTGTTCAGAGAACATGATTTCGAGTATTTTCACTTCCTAGTTAACACTTTGAGTTCAGATGAATTACTATGCCACCGACTAGCCGAAAGTATATTCTTATAGACGGGGCATCGTTTTCCCCGGATGATATACTAGCTATTGATCGTTATGACTTTGTTTATTTCTTTGTGTCTTAATTCTTTTTCCCCCGAATTGTTTGCATGCCTGAGGCTGCTGCTATCTATATCTTATACCTCATATCTATAGATCGGTGTTTTGTGAAAACGAAAGCATTCCGAAATGCCTAGCATAGTCAGTAAGTCGAAAGCTCTTTTTTGATCCGGACACGTGCCGCACTCAAGTGACCAGGGGGAAAAATGGGGAAGGGGGATGTTTAGGTATACACAGAGAACAAATGAGAGCAATGATGTCAGCGCAACTACTTTTAAGGTAATAGGGAAAATAAAAAAAAAATATCTAATAGATTTCCAAAAATATCAATATGGGAAATGGTATAAAAACATGCTGATAATAAAAGATGAATCAAAATTTCTCATCTCAGAAGCTAATATCCAATTAAGTTACCAACATATCTTTATAATATTTTATATATATATATATATAATATTATTATATTTTTATAAAGATTTTTTTTGTATATAAGATTTATTTGTTTATATTTGATTCATAAATCTTGTAATATGCAACACGTTCAACTCGTTTTTTTCAATTTAAAAATAATAAACTTGAGTAATATATTCACTTAGAAGAAAACCATTTAAGAATCATAATAAAGATTCTAAAATATATACTAGCGATATACAAATGTATTTACTGAATTCAACTTTTTTATTTATTTTATTTTTATGGTGTTTTGAATAAAATTAAATGTAAAAATTTGAAATACAAATGTTCTATTTATAAAAATACTTTTTTGCATTTTTAAAGGGTTTTCTGAAGTTCTAAATGAAAAAAAATAATTTGAGGGAAATTCAATGGCCCTATTGATACACAAAATTTCTGTTTTGCTGACCCTGATTGCAGTGATTTTTTCTCTGTGTATTTACTGATCTGTTCGCTGTCTTTTCGTGCTGATTTCGCAGGGGATCGCGGAAATCGAAAATCAGAAATCGGAATGCGAGAATCGAGATTCGAGATTCGAGAGGCCTTACCTAACATCTTCTTGGGACTGGAGGGCGCGGTGCCGCCTTCGAAGCCGGAATCGTTGCTGCAGGTGCTCATCCGGATGATGGACGGTGAGCTGCCAGCGGAGGTGGCTCCGCCGGAAACACTCAGTGTTCCGGCATTCGAACCGGCCGAACTGGGCGAGTCCACCACCGTGGACGAGCCGGAGTCCATCTTCCGGGCGGCGCCGGCGGTGGGCATGGCCACCTCGAGGTCCTCGGAACTGGCACTGCTGCTGGTGGAGCTGCACTCCTCGCCACCGCTCTCGTCGTCGCTGTCCTCGTCCAAGGAGCCACCGCTGCCCTCCTCGCTGCCGCTCTCGTCGTCCGTGTTCTCGTCCGAGTAGACGATCTTCTCGCGCTTCCACAGGGGACGCGGTGTGGCCACCAGTGGATACCGCGGCGCCTCCTCCTTCACATAGCACTTGTTCGTCGTATCGATTTTGATCTTCTTGTGCGGATCGAAGCGCGGCGCTGCGGCGGCGGCGGCTTTCGCCTTCTGCTTCTTTTTCTCCTTGCGCTGCTTCTTTTTCATGCTGGCACTCAAATTGGCACAACCGTCAACACTGGAATAATCGTCGGAACTGCTGTCGTCGTCGTCGTCGTCGTCGTCTTGGCTATTTTCCGCCGACGAGGGTATATAGTCCTCTAGATCGGCATCAACGTCTCGCAGACACTGTGCCAAATTCGATACTGTTGCAAACTTTGATAAATTATTGCCGACGCCTTCGCCGCAGCTGTTGTTGCTGTTGAGCGCGGCAGCAGCAGCAGCAGCAGCAGCAGTAGTAGCAACATTAACAGCAGCAACACCAATTGTTATCGTTGTGGGCGTTGTGGTTGCATCGCCTGTTGCCGCCGGCGATGACGCATTTGTGGCCTGTTGCTGCTGATGCTGCTCATGTTGCTGTTGCACTTGCAATTGCAATGCTTGTTGCTTGTTCGGCGATGTTTTGGCCGTCTTTGTGGGGGCCAGCGTTATAAATTGGCCGGCATTGATTGGGGTCACATTGCTCTCAGACAAAGCTGTAACAGTTTCTGTTGCTGTTGGTGCTGCTGTTGCTGCTGTTGCTGCCGCTGCTGCTGTTGCTGCTGGCGTTGCAGCTTTCTTTTTGCCAACATTTGTTTTGCCGGCACTTTTTGGCTTTGTCGTTTTCGGTGATTGCACCTTTGACTTGGCCGTTGGCTCAGCGGCTTCCGTCAATTTCGTTTTGGTTTCCGTTTGTGGCACCAATGTTGCTGCCGTGTCGGACAGTTGCTGCTGCTCCCTCTGTTGTTGCTCCCGTTGCTGTTGTTCCTTGTGCGTTGTTTTATTTATTTTCGTTTCGACTGCGGCTGCCGTTGCCTGTTGTTGTTCAGGTGACTTGGCCGGCTGCCCGCTATTTATTTTTGGCCCTGCTGTTTCGTTCAATTTTGATTTGCCTGTTGCTGCTGTTGCTGTTGGTGTTGCTGTTGTCATGGCTACGGCGTTGCCAGATTGCTTCGCCCCCTTGGTTGTTGTCTCAGTAACAGTTGTTGTTGCTGCCGGTGTTGTCAAGTTAATCTTTGCTGTTGTTGTCTTTGGTGTTGCTGGTGTTGACTTGGATTCCTCTGTTGTTGCTTTGGGTTGTGTTGCTGCTGGTATGTCAGGCTTTACTTGAGGTGTTGCTGGTGTGTCAACTTTTGTTTGTGATGTTGCAGCTTTGATTTGTGGTGTTGCTGGTGTGTCAACTTTTGTTTGTGGTGTTGCTGCTTTGATTTGTGGTGTTGTTGGTGTGTCAACTTTTGTTTGTGGTGTTGTTGATGCAGCTGCTTTAGGTTGTGGTGCTGTTGGTGTGATTACCTTCTTTGTTGGTGAATCTTTTGTTGGCGTTTCGATTTTTATTTGCGGTGTTGTTGGTGTTTCTACTTTTTTTGTTGGTGAATCTTTTGTTACTTTTTCCACTTTGATTTGTGTTGATGTTGGAGTATCTGGTTTTGACTGTGGGATGGCTGCCTTTCTTGCTAATGGTTCCACTTTAACTTGTAGTTCTACTTCTTTATTTTTTGGTGGTGTTTCTACTTTAATTTGTGGTGTTTTTGGTGAAACTTTTGTTGGTATTGCAGATGTGGCCTTAGTTGCTATTGCTGGCTTAGCCTCTTCTGTTGTTATTAATTTTGGTAAGTCTTTCTTTGGTATTGCCGCCACTGTTGATTTCAATTTATTATCATCTGTTGTCTTAGGTTTTGGCGATTTTGGTGAAACAGTACGAGTTTTGCTTGAAATATCGCTTGTTTCTACTTTCTTTACTTCGGCTTCGTTAGTTTTTAGTACGGTTGGAGTGAGTGGTATTGAAGGCACTTTTTGTATTCCTATTTTTCCACCTGTTGTTGATGTCACCACCGAGGGCGTTGTCTTCAGCTCAATGAGGATTTCCGACTTGAGTTTGGGAGTCGTTGGTGTCTTGGGTTCCGTGACCTTAGTCCTTACTTCTGTCCTTGTTTCCTTGGGCGTCGTTGGCGACTTTATCGGTTCCTCCTCCAGGAGCTGTTCCTGCTGCTCATTGAAAACCTTTTTGCGATTGGTCATGTAGAGCGTTTCCCTAGACCCAATTTGCGACCAAAAGTCCTCACCACTCTCAGATTTTTGTATAGCTTTTCGAATGGGCTTGGGTGTGGCCACACCCTCGACCTTGGGTTGTTGTTGTTGCTGTTGCTGTTGTTGCAACTGTTGCTGCTGTTGTTCCTGTTGTTGATGTTGCTGCTGTTGCTGCTGTTGCTGCTGTTGCAACTGTTGCTGCTGTTGCAACTGTTGCTGCTGTTGCAACTGTTGCTGCTGTTGATTTGCCAGATGTTTCTGTTGCTCTATGGCTGCCTCATCGAAGGTGAAAATCTGCGCCTCACTCACTTGTTGCTGCTGTTTATTTGCCTTCTTCAGGGGCGATGTCTTGGCCGTTTTGGGAGCTGCCCGCATGAATCCTTCGGGCAGACTCGACTCCTCCTGCTCCTTGGGCACTGTCTTTTTCTTGGGCAGCTTGAAGACCTTGTGTATCTGGTGGTGCTCCTCGACAGTCTCCACATTCACGGTGAACTTTGGCTTGGGACTGGGACTTGGGGTGGAACTCGATCCGGAACCTGAACCCGAACCGGAAACCAAAGGCTGCAGCAATTGGGATTCCTCGTTTAGCTCCAATACACTGGGCATATGATCAACTGGCTGGACTTGGGGCGCATTCTCGATCTCCACAATGGCGGTGATTTTGTGGCGCATCTTCTTGCTTTTCTTCGATCGCCTCTTGGATCTCTCCTTCAGTTCGTCATCGTTTGTGGTTGTGCTATCGTGACTGGACCTTCGCTCCAGATGAATCAACTGAAAGGTGCCCGAGTTCGATTTCTGCAACTTGTTCAGTATTTCCTGTTCTTGTTCTTGGATAATCGAGGCACGACGCCTGAGTTCGCCGGCATTCAGATCATCATCGATTTTGTCCGACGAAATATCCTCGCAAATGTCGTGAAATGTGGGACATTGCACCAGGCTCAAGCGTCGAATGGTCTCCTGCATTTCCTCCAGATTCTCCAGTTCCTTTTTGTCCGAGGCATTCTCCTCCTTCTTCTGCTCCTTTTCCTCTTCCTTTTCCTTCCTGGAACGCATCTCAATCTCCTGAAGTTGAGATTTTTGAGCACTTTGTGGCTGGCTCAGTTGCTGAATTCTGGCTTGATTGAAACTGGGTTGCTCCTCCTTCTCATCTCTTATGTAGAATCTTTCGCGCAGCAGTTCGCCAGGTGACTTTTTGTTGCTCGTGGCCGGAAAAGCGGCTAATTCGTCGGCCAACTTTTGGCGCCAACTCAAACTGGGTTCGGTGGCAGGTGGCAGGTCCCGGAATTGATGCTCTGGCACCGGTTCCTTCTTGGGACTCTCGGCACTGCGCTCCTTGCTACGTCTTCGTATGGTGGACAGTCTGACCACAGGTCGATTTCTCTTAATGGTGGACCTGCGATTGGGACGACCTTCGGCATTTGGGTTTACGATTTCCGGTGGTGCATCCTTTAGAGAGGGTTTCGAACCCTTGTCCTTCTCCTCCTCCCCCCTCTTCTCCTCCTGCTGCTGCTTGACCACCACCTCCTCCTTGGGCAGCTGCTCCTTCTCCTTATCCTTTTCATCTCGGGAAGTAACACCTCGCCTATATCTCGATGAACTCACATCGATATCGGCCGTGTTAATGGCTATGGGTCTGGCCGGTATATATCGACTACTGGCACCCGATGAACTGTAACTGGGCGTTGTGACCGAGGAGCCACTGTACTTGGGCGAATTGATCCTGGTCAAGGGCATCAGACTGCTATGACCACTGTGCCTGCCCGTCTCCGTGATTGTAGTCAACTTCGGTTGATATCTGGAGCCGAGGCCGTGAAGGGAGCTACTTCCGCCGGAACTGCCGCTGGAATAGCTGCTCGGCGATCTCGGCGAGGAGGGGCTGAGGGGCACCATGTAGCTGGCCGGATACGAGCGATTGTAGCTGGAGGTGTAGCTCGATCCCGGCGAAGAGCCAAGGCTCAAATTCAGGCCCAAGCCGGAGCTGTAGTACGGTGAATACAGCTGGCTGCTGCCGCCACTATAGTAATAGTTGGTCGAATCCGAGTACAGAGGCATCTTGGCGCTTGGTCACTCAAACAACAACAACAAAAAAAGTAAACGTCACCACACACGAAAAAAAGGTTCTTCTTCAAAATTTTGTTTTCTTATTTTCCGGCGCTTTTCCGCTGCTCTTAGCTTTATTGTTTCCTTCGGTTCATTTAAGCGATCATATTTTTATCCTAATTACGCTGTTTTTAGATGGGCACATAAATATCTATTTCTAAACGGCACAATCACAGTGGGTCTTAAAATTAAAAGGCTATCAATTTATTTAATTTTGTATGTCCCCCTCATATATCTTTTATTGGCAGTTTATATAGTTATATTATGTAAATAAATGTTTGCGACATCAGTTGTGTTTTTAATTAGTTTTTTTCAAGAAAAAGTTGTTTTTTAATTATGTTATTAAAATTATGTATTTGATATTGACAAAAGAAAGAATATATCTGTAACAGAATTTTAGAAAAATTCTTTACCATACTTTATTATTTTTAACTTTTTTAAATAATTATAAAATGTTTTTTTATTTGTCATGAACTGCTAGTTGAAGTAAGTGACTTCAAATAAATATTATTAAATTTCGAAATATTCAGAGATAATATATAGAAAATCAATTAAATAAAATTAACTAAATTATCAACGATGATTATTAATATATTATATTATCAGAATAAAAAATTAATTCATATAAAAACACAATAAATGTATAAACTTCATTTATAAGCTATTTAGAACAAATAAATAATAAAATGTTTAAAGAGAAGCAAATCCTTTTGATTTGACATGGATATTATAATTTAAAATCTCAAAACAATAAATAATGGATACTAATTGCATTGTGGGGCCCTAATTGACCAAGATAAACAAATGAATTGTCTTATTTATTGCACCTGGATACCGATTTGTCAGTTGCGAAACGTACTGTACTTCCCCGTCCGGCCATTTTTCTATCGTTAACTAAATAAACCGTTTTGACCGCCGATCTTTTCAATTCCAATTCGATTTCCGGCTGGGCTAACTCAATGTGGCTCTGACCAAGTTGCTTGGCCCGTGCCAATAACTCAATTTAATTGCAAGTGCGGTTCCTAACAAGGCTAATCCCACATTCGCTTGGGCAACATGATAAATTTAGATTGGGAACGGGCAGAGATTCGCCCATAAATTCGGTGGCACTTCAGTTGATTTTTCACAGGTTAACGCTTGCTTGAAATATGTATTTTTGGGGCTGCCGCCCCGAGATATATGTACATATATCGCCCTCCGACGCTGCCACAGTTTAATTATACAATTTTTAGAGATTTCAAAACGGTTGTCATAATGTGCCAGCATTTGGCAATACCGAAGTCACATTAATTATAGCCTAATTGGCCCAAAGGTTTAATTCCCCTTGATCGAACGAACTGTCCGATCGAAATTGAATTAAGGCAGCCAAATGTTTTGCAGATTTCCGCATACAATTTTTTAAGCATTAAATCTGGGAATTATTTTTTTATAAGTACTGTGTTTAAATATATGTTGCTCTTTATTGGCTTTAAAAAATAAAAGAATTTGATGTTATTATTAGTTAAACTGTCGCAGAAAAAATTACAATACGAAAAATGAATGGTAAACTAAGATTAAAGACTTTTTTGACTTCTTTTTAATAATTTCAATTAAATAGCTTTTCTATTTTTATAGCGTTTTTCCAACGAACTTATGGTATTAACCTGATTCATCTATCTTTGCTAGAACATAAAAATTAACATAAAATTGATTGATAGTCATTTATATTCCTTTGAAAACTGAAAGCAAACCGAATTGTTTATTTAACTAAACAATCGAAGCTTTTCCAGCTAAATGTTTCAAGATTTAAAATTCCTTAAGAGCCTAGATTTTCAAAAGCCGGAAATAGATATCTTGGAAGCGAATTGGAATTGAACCGTCATTGGTTGAAGGTCAACTGGAATCGATGGCTTTTCAATTATTTCAATGGACTTTTCTCGCTCGATATATGTTTATTATTGGCTCTGCCTTTGCCCACATGTGCCATATAGAAATAGATATATAATCCGATGTAGGAGATAAATTTTTTAGCATGACGTAAGCGCTCACGAGTCGTTGTCTGCGATTTTCCTCAGCGATTTTCCACGCATAAATTGCTGACAGTTTTTTTTGTTGTGTACCGTTTTATAATTAAATTATTTTATTATCCACTTCAAACGCAAGGTGCGTGATTTTTTTTGTTTTATATTTCTTTGTTGAATATTTTTTTGAGTAATATTTTTTGTTATGGTTGAGTACCGTCAAACGCGACAGAAAAAAAAGAAGGAGCTAACTCGACGTGGCGAACGCATTAACGGAAACTACTGAAATGTGAAAGGCAGCGCAGAAAATTTTCAATTCCGATTCCTGAACTCACAAACACACACGTCGATTTTCACGGGAAAATTCGAAGTCCATCTGTGTGAGAGAGAGGCTAACTTGGCAGCAGTATCTGTGTGTATCTTGCATCTGTATCTTGTGCTATGTATCTGTATCCGTGTTGAGGCACAGGCCCAGATCACCGTTTTCCTCTTCTTTTAATTATCTCTCCGTGTCTGCCAATTTCGAAATATGCCCCTCAGAATTTTCAACACACACACTCACTCCCAGTGCCATAAATTTCACACGAAGGCGAGCGGTTTTTCGAATTTCGAAAAAGCATCAAAAACATTTTTGACGTGTTTGAAAATGCTGTTCATCGTTTTTGCACAGCGAAAGTAAAAGCGAAAACCGAGAAAGAGCGGAAAACTCATTTGAGAGAAGTATCAGGAAAAATGGGAGAAAAAGAGAGCCGGGCTGTCATAAAATATGCGGAACAATTAACTAAAATAAGTATAGGGAAAACATATATCATTTGTTCATTACAAAAAAGGAAGATCTATCATTATATCATTTTTACGAGATGCCTCGCAGAGTAACGTGTTGAAGGTATTGAATGAGATAATTACAATTAACGAATTCCACGAGTTTGTTGTAAAATACATTGAACAAAGTCATCTTCTAATTAGGCAGAAAACTATTATTTTCATATTTATATTTTATTATAAATGTGTAAGAGTGTTCTAAAACATGTTTAAAAAATGTATCTTTTTGTGTAGATCATTCAAGCCAGGACAATCAGAAAATGAAAAATAATTTTAGTCCTTTTAATATTACTTGTAAAGCCTATCGTTGCTTTCGAGAAATGAGTCAATAAAGATACATTTAAATACGAAAGAGAAAAACAATTGCCTTTGCAATATATATATATATATATAAACCGTAAGTGTGTCATAAATTCAATGAGCCATTTTACAAAGCTACTTAAAAGCAATCATATAGCAAATGGGAAGTAAAACACCCAACACAAGCAAATAAATATAATTCGAACCTAGGAAAAGACGAATTCAGTTAGAAGGCACAATAGAAACAGACTGAAAAACAGAAAAAGAAATGTGGAAATGCTGTCATAAAATGTGTGACCAATTAATTGTCACTTAAATGTGCATAAGTCATAAATTATACGAATTAGGCAAGTGTAATCAAACATCAAAGTGTTTAGTTATGCGCGGAATAAAGAAATCTATTTCAACAATTTCAAATACTCTAGATTGGAAAGGACAGTAAACAAGACTTATTAATTCAAAATTATTTTATGGAACATAAATAAGGGAATTCATGAAATAAAAGTTTTACATGTTATTGGAAGGTATCTTCAAAATATGTTTGAATGTGCCTGTCTTAACAATAGCTTTTTAATTATCACAATGAAAAATAAAACGATAAGTCAAGACAGATGTTTCTTCTTTTTAAAATAAATAAAAGTACAACAAAATTATTTGTAGTGAAACACAAAAGAAGCTGAAATAGCCAAATATAATTTTTGAATTACCTAAAACGAGCAGGACTATATTATTCTAATTAAGAAATAGCAAAATAAATAAAAGTTTATATTTTAAATAATCCCAATCTGTAACTTTTTGAGAGCTTAAACCATAAGTAGCAAAGAAATGGGTTTCATATTTGAAATCGAAAAAATAGCAAAAACATCGGTTGACATTTTCGCCAACATGGACTAAAGATCCTTTTAGGCGATCATCAATTTGCCTGTTGGTAGCACCTGCTATTAAGATGTTTGGCTAAATCCGTCCATCCCCTCGACGCGGGGAAATCGAAAACAAATGCCAGAAATGCCGCACGTAGGATGTATCTCACATGAGAGGTAGCCCATAGCACTCGGAATCGTACATGCGATGCTAATGGTGACGCTTTTCGGTTCCGCAAAGTACATTTATAGACCCGCGAGCAAGAAGAAGAGGTTGGAAAGCGCCAAACAACTAGAAATAGAACTGCAACATGCTCTTCTTTCTTCTTCATTTTTTCATTTCGCTGCCTCAGTACTTAATCTTCGCGATTTATAGTGACCGGGGGCGGGGAGATCGACGGAAAATATATTTCTGTGCGATATTTTTGCGACTGCATTCCTGTCCTGTCAGTTGCAAAAGTGCCTAGCCATGGCCACACTCTTTCACTTAAAAAACACATTGATTTTAATGGCTGACGGGTGATTAAGTTTTAATGTTGTGTTAGAGAAATAATTGTTTGAGGAAAAGTCATAACAAACTTTTTTTAGCGTAAAATTTACATGGGAAACAGACAATATTTAAATAGTTATATATATTTTTAAAATCATTTCAAAATATAATTTTGAACGAGCTTTGACCATTATTATTTACTCAAAAATAATTCTGAAAGTAACTTTAATAATTCCTAAAGGCTCAATAAGTTTCTCAAAGGAATGCATTTTAATTTGGTTTCTAAAATAATAAAAATACTACAAGGAAATCCATTTAACCTTTACCTTTAACCCGATAGAATATGCAAAAACGTATAATTATGAAAACTATGTTAATGGTAAAAAAAACTTTTAAATAATGAACCTTAACCAAGCTTAGCATAACAAACTATTGAAATAATGTATAATCACAACCAAATTTGGCGCTAACAAGCCCGATCTGTAGAGAATACGGGGTATCCTATCAGTCGATCATTGCGTGTTTTCTGCTATTTTCGTCTTCTTTGGGACCCCATGTTTTTTTTTCCTTTTTCCTATGTCTTGTGTTGGCTAAGTCGCAATAAATTGATTTCTAATGCAGTCTGGCTATCTGTCTAACCGTCTACTATACATAGCGATTTCAGCTTAATCTGGCTTTCGCATTATTTCCGCTTTGATCGCACACACAACGAGTGAAAGTATTTTTTCCTTTGTTCGCCGAATAAAAAGATGCACCTGCAAAATATATGGCACTCGTTTTTCTTGACAAAATTACGACACCATTGAATAAATTACATATATTTTCAGAGAGCGTTTTTTTGATTGCATTTCCAGCAGAGCAGAATATTAATACAATTTGAATTCTTGACATATATTTATATAATTAATATTTCAGATAAAATGAGAAATATATATTAGTATCAACGCCAACAGGGCGTATGCTTATCGAAGCCAACAGGGCGTATAAGTTATATAGTTACACTTATACGCCTTGTTGGCTTTAATAAACATACGCCCTGTTGGCTGTGATACTGATATATATTTTTTTAATTTTATCAGCAATTAGTGCACTTTATGTCGAATATTTTCTGAGGAAAAACGTATTTAATATCCGCCATAATTATGAGATCTTTACAGGAAAAGTTAAATGGGTCGAATTCATTAATTGCCGTAACACGACATTTTCGAAACATTTATGATTCTGAAAGCATTAATTTAATTTCGCAATTTCCATATTGAGTTGCGAAAAAAACTAATGATTCATATACGAGAGCTCAAATTTATAATATTTTGTTTCTAAAATAAATAGAAACTTGAAAGACGACACTAAAAAAAGTCTTTGACTATGTTATTATAATATATTACATGTTATAATATATATTTATCCAAATCTAAGGAATTTGTTAAATGTCGAGAAAATGCCCAGTTAACAACAAAAATATACCATTATATCCCAATTATTCTACCCCATATTTTTGTTGACCGTTACATTTTCTGAGGGAAAAAGCGCAATATATTCAGGTTGTTATAACCACTAAAGAAATTGGGAGCTTTTAACAAATAGCTTTGCGGTTTACCTCTGGCACAGATGGTGCCACCTGGCGAAAGCTCGAGCCAATATAAAAATCGCAACAGAACTAGGTAAAAAATTAAATGCGTTAAAAACAATAGCACTTTTTACTGTAAATGTATAAATTAAACAAATTTAAAACGGCTTTACTTGGGAGTTTCATTATATACGAACTACTTTTAAGCTGAGATTTTGCAATTCATAGAAATGGTAAAAACCATTTTTGTATTAAAATCGATTGGAATAATAATGAAATTCTTATCTCTACATCTAGGTATACATCTAAATTTGATATCCTAAAGAGTAATTAACATGTATTACATTTACAATTTTCTAATGAAAAGTGCTATTATCTTATCCGCAAAAACTCATAGAAAAATCATTTAAAATATATTTTTAAGAACTCACCTTCACATTTGAGGCCTTGAATAAAAAATCCACCCATCAACGATCCGCAATGATCACAAAAAGTGGGTGACATAAATGTGTGCGGCTTAAATCTATGCGGCATATCGATCTTGAAACGTTCGCGCAGTAACTGAATTGTCAAAAAAAGAAGAGATACATATTTAATTCAGTTTTTGTAGATATATCATTATGTGGAACCTACAATTGTACTGGCAGAGGTGAAAACGGAACCGGAGCATTTGCCCAACAGCTTCTCATGACACTTTTTATGCACCACCGTCTGACAAACTGTAAAAAATAAACGTACTTGAAAATGAAACAAGTTGTTGGATAGTGGCTTAAACTTACTTATACACTGGTAGCCCTGCTTACCAAATCCCCAGAGAAACAAATTACAGAAAGCACAAAAGGTGGGCTGGCGGAAGAACTTGGCCACAAAACGATGACCATTGATGTCGTGGGTTCTGCGGGTAAAACAAAGTTATCTTATATTGAAAAACGTTTTATGTGAGGTAGAGCTTCTAAATAATTAAACATAATTGTTTTGTCGTCATATTAGTTATTTGTAAAAATCAACAAAAATATAACAGCGGTTCTGTTTTTTTATGTTAATTTGATGGCTAGTTCAATTGAAGCTGCTTATAAAGATCTTACAACCAGAACTTACATAAGATGATCATGATTTTCCTACATAGTAATAAAAATAGTTTTTATGTCATTTCAAACAAATTAATAATCGTTTTGAAATTTTGAAACATTTTTGATTTGATTTCAAATACATTTTTTGAGCTAGCTCT